CAATATAGTAAGAGTACCATAAGCATTTTTAGTGAAATGTCTGAGAATTCTTTGGTGGCTATACCAAATATAATTGAGGTGGTCGATTTTACCCATTCATTTAAAAACATATGCTCTAGGGAAAAAATGTGCCTCTATCTACATTTTTGCAAAACTTCAAAAATATACCAATATATACAATTTACCAGCTGAAGTGAGCACTAAAGGCAGTAAAACAACTACTTTTATTCCTGATATGCATAACAAATGTCCACATTTGCATCATCAGCTCCATATAGAAAGCTTTTCTGATGTAGTAAACCATCTCGGTACCTCACCTGGTAGCACTTGTGATGTGTCTTGAAAACTTGAAACAGTCCACGAAACATGAGGCATGATAAAAGAGCTTGTAGAGGCTAGATAAAATGGCATGGTTGCTTTAGCAAATGCATTTTTATCTCACTTTTATTCTTGTTAACAGCAGCAGTGAGGTTTAGTGAGGGGGGGGGGGGGGGGGGGGGGTTTTTTTTTTTTTTTTTTTTTTTTTTTTTTTTTTTTTTTTTTTTTTTTGGGGGGGGGGGGGGGGGAGGAGAGTGTTATTTTTAAAGGCGATAGAGCATTAAATTTACTAGGCGTCAATCATCGAACATATCATTTTCAAACTGCTGCAACACATACAACAACCAACGTAAAATGTTGCCACATTCACATTCAGCTGTTTCGGTATAACTGTAGTGCTAATCACCGGACATTTCACTTTGAAAGTGTCATGAAGTATGTAAGAAGCAATGCAATATCATTCTGCAGAAATGTCACCACAGGCACGTTTTTTTAATTTATTTTTTCAATGAGCCTGGGTTGAATGAAAAGTAATGTAGGTCCTATAAGTTCAATAAAATATATGAATAAAATAATATATTATTTAAATAAAATTACAATTGAAAATAAATATAAATAAATAAAACAAAGATTATATTGACTTCTAAAGTCACTGTTGTCTGGCACAACAATTTATCTGAATTACTTTTTTTTTTGTGGACTTTTCTCAGCAATTAATTGTGATTAATCCAATTAATTAGTCTGCATGTCATGCAATTCTTTTTTTATACCCGAATATGTATTTTTCTTTCATGTATGACATTTTTGTATGGGTTTGAGTACATTCATGCATGTAAATCTTTATCTACGCATGTAAAAAGCAGTTTCTACTCCAACAGCATTCAAAAATGAAAAGGAGAGAGAGACAGAGAGAAAAAAAACACTGTGTGTCATCCTGTCAGCCTTGTTATCATTAGCATGCAGGAGTTCTGAAGAATTGCGTGTTAATTAAAGCAAAAGTCCCCCACAGGTATAATTCTGTGCGTTAGCAGGTTTCAGAAAACTTGGACGTGAAGAAAAGTGCTGAATTTTGCCTGTTACAGATAACACAGTGCTTAGTGATGCTAATGGCTGAGGGTTTATTGAAGGAGAGAGAGGACGAAGGGATGCCGGAGAAGAGGAATAGGTCAAAAGGTTCATGTCACTTCCTGTCTTGTCTTTAAGGCACACTGTCACATTGCATAAAACGCCAAGTCTCTTGACCGACAAGCAATGAATGCTCAATGAAGAGAGAGAAAGAGCATGGCTCCAAAAGAGTGAGAACCCAGAGACAGAAATGTGGATGAGAGAGACAAAGATAGAAAGAAAGAGACAGACAGACAAAGCAGGACTGTTTCATCACTCCATTCCTGCCAGTAAACAAATGCATGAAAGTAGGGAGAGTGTAATGCAATCATAAGCAAGCTAATTTGCTTTGAACCAGCAGGGAAAAAGCCATTTACGTTTCATGGATGGATGAACACACAAAAGGCAGAGTGGAAAAGAGCTATGATTCTCCGTCTAGCTGAAGTAGAGCAATGATGCACCTCTAAAAGTGCTGGATTTAGTCAGTTATAGAAAAGAGAAAATGCAACACAATATTGAAACCATTGATACCAATTACAAACTAAATCTCAAATCTAAATTAAATTAAACTGCAATTAAGTTTGTGGCTAAATGAACTGTCAATATAAATATAAAACTATTTAAAACAGAACCATTCTTTCAGCTGACATACGATTTAATCATCTTAAACTAATCAAGTCCAGTGTAGTTGTAGAATGTAATTCCACTCACTTACCTTTCTCCCATGAGCCTCTGTTACAATCCCACGATGAGCAGACGTCACTTTGGTCTGAAACACATGAGGTGACCGGTTAAATGTGATTGACAGATTATGACAAAAGCAGTGCAGCGATACAGTCAGACTCGAATACAGATCTGTTATGATAATTTCCCAACTACCCTTACACTTTCATCTGGTCATAAAAAGGTGAAATTATCTGTCAAGAGGGTCTGCAGCAGTCCTCTCTATGATATAATTTGCTGTTTTATGTTTTTAAAAAAAAAAAAGTGTTTTATGTTTCTGCATGTTGGTCATTCCACATGATTTTGTTCTTCCAGACAAACTTTTTTTAAATATTAAGCAGCAGTGAAGCTTTTGTTTAAAATATAGATTTTTCTAAGAAAAAAAAAAAATTTAACTACTACTACTAATAAGCGTATCGTTAAGAATGTTATTCTTTTAATTACTCGCATATGGAAATGTAATATATGACATATACAAAACTGCCCTATATCAAGAGTTATATTTCCATATATGTTACCTTTAAGGCCATACATTATATTCACATTCTGTAACGGGCGAGCAGGAACGAGATGGAGTGAGAATTCAAATGCGAGCATGAAAGTTTATTTGAAAAACACAAAGTTTTTCTTTTTTAATAAATCTGCAAAAATGTCAACAATTCTGTGTTTTTCTGTCAATATGGGGTGGTGTGTGTAAATTAATGAGGAAAAAAACTTAACTTAAATGATTTTAGCAAATGGCTGCAATATAACAAAGAGTGAAAAATTTAAGGAGGTCTGAATACTTTCCGTACCCACTGTATATTCAGATTTGAGATGGTGTATAAATCTCAATTTTAAAAAATGTAACCCTTATGACTGGTTTTGTGGTCCAGGGTCACATATATATAATCCAATCCTGGAACAAGAATACAATCCACACAAATAAATCAGCTTGGAACACACATACTGTACAGGACCATTTTTGAATAAAGTATTAGATTATCACATCACTGACCCATTAATCCAGCACCTTTATATTTATTTTTTCATTTACAGTACATCACTAACTGTCACACTTACAGAAATGTAACATTCGTTTTTTTAAGGTGCAGTGCCGATTCAATCAGCAGGAATTATGGGCCGTGTGTTCAAGGTCAAGGCAGCTTTTTCAGCCGCTTTGTTTATGCAGTTGTGCAAATACTCTAATCACACTGGTTGGACACCTCTGTGATTAGGGATACTAGCCTTGCTCTCTTTTGTGCCTGCTGCCATAAGCCTTCTATGGTTACGACTAATACAGCTGCATGCAGAGAAAGCCATTTGCATGTCATTTACATACACCACTGCCACATAACAGAGATCCAATTAGCGTGGATAATACATACACCATGCATGAATATAAAAGTACTTTAAAAGTCATATTGCCTCTAATGCAAACTCTCTGTAGATCCATTTTGGCAGTATGAACTTGTAAGCAATATGACAATTCTTTAAGAATTCTTATTGTCGTCCATAGAAAAATGAGATTCTTTTGAAGCACAATATGCCAGAATTTTCATATTTGAAACGTGACTGTCTGACTGACCTGTGCCAGAGAAGTGGAGCGTGATCGAGAGCTCTCTGCGCTGGGTCTGTCCGCTGGCCGTGAGCCCTGGTTGGATGTGCATTTGTAGCAGCTCCACGAGTACTGCCTCTCGCTCAAAACACCCACCTCTTTACGCTGAAGACACTGGCAGTGGTACAGGTGTCCACAGCTACATATGAAATAAGAGTTCAGAATGATGCTAATCCTGGTCTGTTTGTGTAGTAAGTTTTGGCAGAGTGCTACAACAGCTTGTTAAGTAAGAAATATGGGACTCAAATAAGGCATCAGAACAGGGCGACCAATGGCAGATATAATGCTAATATTTATAATAGAGGTCTCACAATAACTATGATATTTAAGAAATTAAATATTGATATCACATTAATATTACACATACGATAATACTGTGAATACTCCAGCACCAGTAATGTTCTGGTTGACACTTCCAAATAGTGGTAGGTTGTATTGCACCTTAACACTGGTTGGCACCTGTCATAAACTGGAAAAAAAGGTAGAAGGTGCAGTGTGGAGCTACTACTGCCACATAAAATCAAACTGGAGGAGATGACCAGACAAGGCGGGATGTTAGAAACCCCAGTCTGCAGGAAGTGTTGATCCACAGTAAAGTTATTTTTGTACATCTTTTGTACGGTTATGGTCACAAAATCTCTTCACCTTTCTACACTTATACTTTAAGTTACATTCATTGGCCAACAAAAAAAGAAAACACAAAATAAACAAATTTAAAGATGAATTTGACTGATAGCATTATTTATTTACTTGTTTTTTTTTTAAAGAATTTGTATAGATGACGCAATAATATAGTTATCATAAACTATTTTGGCCACAATAACAGTGTAGAAAAAATTGATATCGTGACAGCCCCAATTTTTTACAGTAAATGTATTTAACAAAAAAAATTTAAAAATAATATATATATATATATATATAAATAAATTAACTGAAACCAGAGGCATGTGAAACGACTCAGAATCTCCCTTAAACGTTTCTTTTCTATCACAATCAAATACTGTATCTTTTAAAATTTGTGAAATGGATTAACACTTGAGCTTGTGCTGACATTAAATTGGTTCAGTTTATTTTCATGAGTGGAAGAATCTCTGTTAATCTACACAGTCTCCTCACCAGAGGCAATGTGTTTCAGCAAGGTCATATAAAAAGACAGAAGAGTGGGAGAGAAGGAGAGAAAGAGGGAGAGAGAGAGAGAGAGAGACAGAGGCTTTATGTATGCTCATTTTGCTGTTGGTACAGCATTTTGAGTATTACACACACAAGCCATATTGTACACATGCCTGCAAACACACACACACAAGCTTTCCTAAGGGATTGTTCAAGTGTGTGTATTTATGTGTGTGTAATTTACGTCTCAATTGTGTGGCTGCAAGTTATTTACTGCAGTGATTCCAAGTGGAGAGTCTCAAAAGCAAGGGGAAAATTTGTGTGTGATGTGTGTGCGTGTGTGTGTGAGTGAGTGAGAGAGGGGGGAATCAGGTGGTATTCTTGCCTTGCTCGCTATTTCCTTTGAATGACAAGCTGCAAATTCCCATTGGTCATGGAAGGGAGAGTGCAAACATACACTGACACAGACTTACTTCCACAGACAAACTGAAAGACTGGACAACCATATCTGGTTGACAGTTTAAACAGACAAACAGAGAAAGTGAAACAGAGATAAAATGGCAAAACACTTTAATTTTAGTAGCATGAAAGGAGCTCAGCAACAGGATATTCTGCAAAAACTTCTGATTTTAGTAAATCGGTTATAGTTAAAAAAAAATACTTGGGTGTTTAGAGAAGTTCAAGTTTTTGTGGCATTTCATGTTTTTAATTGAACAAAATAAATCTATTTTTTTAAGTTTTAGAAACTTGTTTTATTCAGATATTTTTCTAATGTTTAAATGTAAATGTAGGTGTTCAGGTGTGATGTTAATACACTTTGAGTCAGATAAATACTGCTCTAACAAACTATGTAATCTGATAGGTAGACAATTAAACAAAAATTTTATTAACCAATTTAGATTGGTAAAGGGTAGCTTGACTTTATTGTATTGTATTGTATTGTACTATTTTATTTTATTTTTAAGTTAACTGAAGTGAACTAATTCAGGTATGTTATTATAGGGTTGAAAAGGATACATTCTCAGGATCTTTTAAGGCAAGCCTTAAGAAACAACATATATATGAACTAACCCAGAAATTAATGTTCTAGAGGCTGAGAAAAGACATTTTATCTCTCTGTAACGAAAACTTCAACATCATGTCTAGACCGGACATAAGTGTGATACATCAATCACCAACAGTAAAATGATGCCTCATTCTGTTTCTGACAACCTTCACATGCTTGTGCAACGTCCGGCAACAGGGCTAATGGATTTCAAAGGTTTCAAAAAGTCTACAAAAGACTATGGCACATGGCCCATAATTCAAAGACTAAAAGTCTGCGGTTCAACTCATACTGTACCAGATGATTAATGTACACTATGGCCAAAGAAAACTCCACTTTCAAGGTTCAGTTCTCAAAAGTAACAGCTTTTGATTTAAATGCATGATTTAGCATTTATTTGGTCAAATATAGAATAGAAAGCAATAAAAGGGAACACACTGATGTCTGATGCAAATTTCTGGATGCAATTAGCCAATAGGTGACACTAAGGTGAAGAAAGCAACTCTATACACTAATAAACAAAAATCTATTAAATAAATTAGCACTGCAAAAGGATGTCAATAAGTGTAAGCAGGGGCGTTAATTTCGTCTAACAGTAGGGGGGGGACAATAAACATAAAATTTCTCAAAATCAATTTTAGAAGGGGACACAAAAAATACAGCTAAAATTGTACTTGTAAGGAAAAGTTTACACAGAAGAAAGCCTTACTACTATTAGTGTAACAGGGAGACCGTGCCAAATTAGACAACTTCAAGCTGTTGTGGTCGTGTCCATTGTAGACATTATCCATCAAGCAAGTAACATTATTATTATTGCTTACATAGTGGACTCATCGAAAAATACATTGGCATCATCTGTATTAAAGAGAAAATAATAACTTCATCCGATATTTAAGTGAATAAAATAGCCTTGACAGCCTTGGAGTTGCACAACTATTGACTTTATTCTCGCTCACCGGACTTGTGTGTGTGTGTGTGTAGGTGATGTAGGGTTGCCAGGTTTTCACAACAGCTTGTTAAGTAAGAAATATGGGACTCAAATAAGGCATCAGAACAGGGCGACCAATGGCAGATATAATGCTAATATTTATAATAGAGGTCTCACAATAACTATGATATTTAAGAAATTAAATATTGATATCACATTAATATTACACATACGATAATACTGTGAATACTCCAGCACCAGTAATGTTCTGGTTGACACTTCCAAATAGTGGTAGGTTGTATTGCACCTTAACACTGGTTGGCACCTGCCATAAACTGGAAAAAAAGGTCGCAGGTGCAGTGTGGAGCTACTACTGCCACATAAAATCAAACTGGAGGAGATGACCAGACAAGGCGGGATGTTAGAAACCCCAGTCTGCAGGAAGTGTTGATCCACAGTAAAGTTATTTTTGTACATCTTTTGTACGGTTATGGTCACAAAATCTCTTCACCTTTCTACACTTATACTTTAAGTTACATTCATTGGCCAACAAAAAAAGAAAACACAAAATAAACAAATTTAAAGATGAATTTGACTGATAGCATTATTTATTTACTTGTTTTTTTTTTAAAAGAATTTGTATAGATGACGCAATAATATAGTTATCATAAACTATTTTGGCCACAATAACAGTGTAGAAAAAATTGATATCGTGACAGCCCCAATTTTTTACAGTAAATGTATTTAACAAAAAAAATTTAAAAATAATATATATATATATATATATAAATAAATTAACATATTCAAAATTACAAAAAAAGATTATGAAATAAATAATTTTTGTTTGTTACAGTAAAAAGCATTGGACTGTCGTCTTGTGTGTACCTGAAGATAATGATCTCCTCCTCGCTCTCTTGCCATCTCTTGTACTGCTGTAAGCAGATGTTGCAGTGGTACTGTCTTGGGTGAAGCCCTCTACTGACCGCCTTGCGCAGGTGTGACAGAGACCAGTGAAGATCTGAATTCAACAGATTTGTGGTCGTCTCCAACAAAGTCTGAGAGATAGAAAGAAGTAGTAAAGTAAACCACTGCAAAGGTTTAAAGAAAAAAAAACTGAGTTATGGCACAGAGGTCAGCACACATGCTCCGCGATTCTGCTCATTCAGATGAAACAGGTTTGAGTCTAGGCTGTGATGTGTCCCGACTCAACATCCCCCCTTCTCTTCCCAAAAACGTCCTGCCATACAGTATTATACTGCACTGTAAAAGGCAAAAACTTGTGCTAATGCTGATCCTATTTGTACATTTTGATGTGTTTAAATTTTGGTTGCATGGACAAAATGTATTAAAGAATATTAAAAATATGTTCATTTGTGTTACAAGAAAAAAGAAAAGAAATATTTATGAGGGAATTTTCATTTTTAGGTGAACTATTAAGTAAACAGATCAGAAGTTATACTGTAAGTAGTGCACCTGTATATTATAAGCACACTTAGAACTTTACAGAAACTGCAGCATATTTCAGCAAAAATGGCACGTGTACAGTGCCATTCACAAAGATCTACACATCCCTCACAACTTTGCATTTCTGTTAATTAAATATTTTGATTTGGTTATGTTTCAGCTACAAATATGCCTAATACTAAACACATTTTACCATATCTAAATACATTTTAAAGATTTTCCCCTTAACAAGCATGGAAAATGATAAAAGCCGTGAAAGCCATCATATTTAATCTTCTAAACAGCTTACAGGAAATGATGAACAGCTACAGTTTCTAACAACATACAACTTTCCTTTCCCATAAAATCTTGATGTTAATTTAAAAAATAGTTAATTTTAAGATACGTGTCAAGTATCCTATTTCAGTTTAATTCACGAGGGAACACATTTATTCATCCACAACCCCAGGCAATGGAAGAATTTCTCCATAACGAATGAAATTATCAGGACTGAAACCAGAGGCATGTGAAACGACTCAGAATCTCCCTTAAACGTTTCTTTTCTATCACAATCAAATACTGTATCTTTTAAAATTTGTGAAATGGATTAACACTTGAGCTTGTGCTGACATTAAATTGGTTCAGTTTATTTTCATGAGTGGAAGAATCGAAAGCCTTACTACTATTAGTGTAACAGGGAGACCGTGCCAAATTAGACAACTTCAAGCTGTTGTGGTCGTGTCCATTGTAGACATTATCCATCAAGCAAGTAACATTATTATTATTGCTTACATAGTGGACTCATCGAAAAATACATTGGCATCATCTGTATTAAAGAGAAAATAATAACTTCATCCGATATTTAAGTGAATAAAATAGCCTTGACAGCCTTGGAGTTGCACAACTATTGACTTTATTCTCGCTCACCGGACTTGTGTGTGTGTGTGTGTAGGTGATGTAGGGTTGCCAGGTTTTCACAACAAAACCCGTCCAGTTGCTACTCAAAACTAGCCCAATCGCGTTTCGAGGGGGGTTCCCCAGTAAAAAAATAAAAAATAAAATAATAATAATTTTTCAAGTTCCTAGAAGTAAAATACACGTTTTGCATGCGTTATTGGGGGTCGCTTCAACCTGCAGACATGAAAATAACCCGTGGCAACAGTGTTAAAGTAGCCCATTTCCGCGGGAAAACTGCGGACTTTGCAACACTGAGGTGATGTAAAAGAGGAAAGCAGGCATTTGGACCAAAGCACTGTGAGGCAAGGGAGGGGGAGACTCAAAATGTTTCTAAACTTAAAACACTTTGTTGCCCCTGTTTGCGTTTGTGTTGTTTTACTACTTACAAAGTTATTTAAAGTATAAAACTTTATTTATTTACAATACACAGTGTGGTTTTTAATCATATTTTTAGGGGGGACAACCCTCATATTGTCCTCCCCAGGATTTCTGCCTATGAGTGTGAGACAAGTTCAGTTGAATTTCATACAACAAAGTCTCTTTATTCTTATTTAATTTGTCTTGACTTTCAGGCAGCTTTAAAGAATGTTGTGTGAGAGCTTGAGATGAGGGAAACTATTTATGGGAAAGTATTTAGTTCATTAAGTAAAACTGTAGGGTGTGTGTGTGCATGCCACTGATAACCATTACGGGTCCTAAGACGTCCAGAGAGCCTCTTCAATTATGCACTTGTTAATTAATGAAGAAACAGCCATTAATGAGCTCTCATAACATTCCACCCTCAACTGACCTGATTAAAGCAGCTGTGAGGATAAGCTGGAATAAGTTAAGTGTGATAGTTCCTCTAAAGGGTGTCACTCCCTTAAAAGCTATTAAGAGGGACTGAAAAAGTACAGTAGACTTGTGTGTGTGTGTGTGTGTGTGCATGACCCATCACTGTGTTGTTTTATGAATATTGCTGAAACATGTGCTAACAGGTTCCTACTCTCTTAATAGTTTCGATGTAGAACATTTATTTTATTAATATTTATACCAATATTTATAGTATAGATTACTGGTCAAATTAAAACCACTGGCATGTTGAAAATAATGAAAAAGCCAATATTAGAAACTGGTTTCTAGTTGGTAGGTAGTAGGTACAGTATACGTATTGTATCAGCTTTTTTTCTGCTGATCAATCAATAAATACCAACCCAAAGTTAGCTAAATGTATACTAGCAACAGTTTGAAAACAAATCTTCCAAAAGATCTGCATAACTTTTAATTCATTCAAAAAACAAAAACAAAACCACAATAAAAAACACTTAACTAGAATATAGATTTTTTACTGTAACTTCTGATCACACCGCAAAAGAGTGTTCTACGTCACTTTTTTGCTTTTTTGTTGTTTTCCAGTGCAAATGTCTAAAAGATTCTTAAATCAAGAATCAAGATACATTGAAAAGCAAAATGATAAGATATAAGATATATAAGAAAAGACTGGCATAAAGGTTTTCAAAAAAATTTTTTCAAAAGGATCTCACCTCCACATCTCATTCCAATTATCACATAAAACACTGTGAACTTAGCTGCTGTTGCTTCAGCAGAGTGAACAGTAAGAGTCGATCTCACTATAATTTAACAGAGCTAAATTATGTATCTTTCTATGCTGCTGTCTGAAGCCAGCAAGAGTGCAATTAGTATGGAAGTAAGACATGCATGACGCATTATGGGTAGCTATACTATATAGACATATTTAACAGGCTGTCAAGGCTGTGTATCAACACCTCACAAACCCTGTACTACCCCCTAACAATAAATAAATAAATACAATTAATTTAAAAAAATGTGGTGACACCATGAAAATGTGATGTTTACTGATGCTGCTGTAGAAATATACTATTCAAAATAGTCCATGAATAATTTATTATGTGAGTGAAAGGGCAGTTACTGAGATAAACTCAGTAGTATTCAGCTGGCCATGTGATCTCAACATGACAGCTCCCATGAGGCGAACTAGGGGCGTGAACTTTTGAACAAGATGATGTGTAAATGTTTCTGATGTTGCTTAAAGATCATATTTTTTCATTCTGTACTGCCCTTTAGAAGCCACCTAAAATACTTAGATGTTTCACAGAAGACAAAATAAGTACAATTTACCTTGATCAGTCAATTCAAAAAGTTTACACCCCCCCCATGTTGCTATCTTGACCATCAGTGTATGTTTTGTAATAGTTGTGTACGGAGTCCCTCAATTGCCCTCAGTGTGAAAAAATGGATCTCAAAATCATAGTCACTGCTGAAAAAGGTTCAAAATGGCCGATGATGCCGGAAAACCAACGAATGTGCAGAACCTGGAGGATTTTCTGATAAAAAGTGGACAGCTGAACTGCTCAGGACAAAAAGAGACTCATGAACCACCATCACAAAATATAAAAACAGTTGTGTAACAACACTCAGTATTAAGAATCAAGCACGTGTAAACTTTTGAACGAGGTCATTGTTATAAATTCAGTTATTATTTTGTCTTGTGGGATATATGTAAACATCTGTTATGTGAAATAGTAGGACAGTAATAAATAACAAATAACATGCAATTTTTATGATCACACACACACTGACACACATGCATACAAGAACCTAAGACAAACGACAATGAACATGCTTCTCTATGGTGCAAAAATGCATTCATAAAAGAAAGCATTCTACAGTAACAAAGCTGATGAGGTCAAATTGCTATAACACACACACACACACACACACACACACACACACACACACACACACACACACACACACACACACACACACACACACACACACACAC